GAAACCAACGCTCCAAGGACCAAGAAGAGGCAAGGGAAGAGCTGCATCAGAACCACACAGTCTGGGAGGCTGCTAAGGGAAGGCCCACTGTGGAAAACGAGAGCAGGGTGAGCAGCAGCATTCAAAGGAAAAAGAGTGAAGGGCTAAGGTAACCGAAGGAGACTGGCAGACACGCAGCAGCAAGTGAACCAAGAGGAGCTCCAGAAGGGAGCTGGCGCCAGCAGCACCAACAGGAAGCAAAAAATACCTGTTGAGGGGGAAGGGGAAAGAAGAAAGAGGGAGCCTTTCGCAGCCAAACTTGGAGAACAAAGTGAAGACAACTGAACTGTGAGAAGAACTAGACTGCTGCTAAGGGGGAGAAGTCTGGCAGTGAGGCTAGAGAAGGAAGTTGAGGCCAGAGGGAACTATTCTGAAGAAGCGCACCCAGTGAGAAATATCAAAGGCACCGACTTAGGGAACTGAGGCTCAAAATAACAGTAAATCTCCAAGTTGGCCTGTCTGGAAACAGCTGCTGCAGAAATGTCCAAAGAAGTCAATAAAATATCTGTAAAGTGATGTGAAGACTGGCAAGTAGAAAAATGAGGCAACGGGCCGGCGCCGTGGTGTAGCAGGTAAAGCCACTGCCTGCGGTGCCAGCATCCTATATGGGCGCCAGTTGGAGTCCTGGCTGCTCCTCTTCCAATCCAGCTCTCTGCTATGGCCTGGGAGGGCAGTAGAAGATTGCTCAAGTCCCTGGGCCCCTGTACCAGTGTGGGAGATCCAGCAGAGGCTCCTGGCTCCTTGCTTCAAATCGGCACAGCTCTGGCCATTGCAGCCAACCAGCAGATGTAAGATAATCTCTCTCTCTGTTTCTCTCTCTCTCTCTCTCTCTCCTCTCTCTCCTCTCACTGCCTCTCCTTCTATCTCTGTGTAACTCTTTCAAATAAATAAATCAATCTTAAAAAATAAGACATAAAAAGCCAAAATGGGTGTGGACTCAGGAAAGGGATGCATCCAATCCCAAATCAAAGCTGCTATGGCAAAGAAGAGGAGCTCGTACAGATGGTGAGGCAACCATCAACTCAACCACAATTCTCCACATACTCGTGCTTTTCACCTTTTTGGCAGAATCATTCAGAGGTTTTCACCGCCAACCCATGTCAGTTATCAATTTTTATAGGCCTATAATCAAACTTCTATTTATCCAACAAGTTGCTGCGGCTACTGCCTGTTCCACCACAGCCCCACCATTCCTGTCCACGACCACTGTTTCTCCCATCCTGTGCAGCCACCTTGTCTGTCCAATCAGCTTTTGAGCACAGAAGAAAAGCTTCATTTATCAACCTGTTGAGATTATACCACAACAGTGAGCTGGGGGACCAACCCGAGCAGGATCTTCCTCTCTGGACCCTCTTCCTGAAGCTTCACATCTCACCCCAAGGAAAACTGCTCCTGAAAGAACAGGGAGGGGCTGGCACTGCAATGTGGCGGGTGTGACCCTGGCACCCCATGTGGGCGCTGGTTCATGTCCTGGCTGTTCCACTTCCAATCCAGCTCCCTTTTAATGGCCTAGGAAAAGCAATGGGAAATGGCCCAAGTGTTTAGGCACCTGTCACCTATGCAGGAAACTTAGATAAAGCTCCTGGCTTCATCCTGGCCCAGCACTGGCTGTCGCAGTCTTCTGGGAAGTGAACCAGTGGATGGAATATCTCTCAGTCTCTCTGTCTTTCCCTCTGTGTAACTCTCTCAAAATACATACATAAACCTTTAAAAAAAAATAGGGAAATTTTCAACCAAAATCTTGGCTCTTTTTTCTGAGACTTCTTCTCGTTATTTTGCTTGGTAGAGTCAAAAATCAAAATGGAATAAGTGTGGATAACAGCTAATTGCAGATCTCTTCCTTCTGTACATACTAGCTTTGCTTGCTAAAAGCTAAGGGTGTATCTTATGAAACTATGTGGGCCCAAATTCCAGAAACTGAGAAAAGGCACAACCTGTGTTCTGCCTAAGCTGACAGAAATGCACCCTGCACTGTTATCACACTACCATATCTTGGGTTTATTACTATTCCTGGTTTTGTTGCTGATAACTGTTATCTTACAACCATATTCTGGGTTTGTTATTGTTCACTACATACCAGGGGTTAGAAACTGAGAGCCCTAGTGGAGAGAATACTATAAAAAGCTGTGTAACTCACGGTTAGGGGCCACACTCTGGTAAAGAGTGTCAGTCCCAATCAGTTGCCTTGCCTCTCATTTTCAATAAAATTTGTGTGTGACTGTCACTGGTTTTTGTAATATTCTATTTTAGATGACAAGTAGATGCAACAGTTTTTTCATCCCATGGACAATGTGATTTTCTTATTCCTTTTAAAATTCCCATTACTTTCTTATTCTTATCTTTCCTATCAGTGTGAGTATACATAAGTGTATTTTATAATAATAAAAAAGCCAACAGGTTTCTAAAATAATCACCACTAAAGAAAGATTATTTTGGGTACACATTTTTAAAATAACATTTACATTAATTCATCAATTAAGAAATAAGCTCATACCTACAGTGCTCAAAACTTGGATGCTAGTTCCATTCTCCAACTAAAGGAACCAGGGCTCCTTGGAGAAGTGGCTGATGCCAGGCTGAGGCAGGGAAAACATGAGTGTGCAGTACCAGAAAATGAGGGAAACATTTTTTAAAAGGATGATGCAAGTCAAGAAGCCATATAGGCACAGGCACCAACCTAAAGCACTCCTCCAAACAGCCAAAGCTAGAATAATGTAAGCACCAAAATAAAGAAGAATAGTAATGCACTGTAGGCCAAAGACTAAAATACACATGCACCCACACACTATGATGGGATTGATAAGTAAATAAAGGCCAAGGGCCAACACCCCCTCGCCACGTATTCCAATGAATAACTGCACTCACTGCCACAGGCAAGATCCACCAAAGGATGCTAACTAGCGGGTGAAAGTTTAGGAGAAACAATATTTGTATGCAAAGCACCTACTGATCTGCCCCCAACTACTGACACAAAGGGAAAGTTACTTTCTTACATGGTGAAACCTGACAGACACCACAGGATAGGGTTTATGGTGTTAGCAACAGACAGACTGAGACATTCTAAAAATACAAATACAAAACACTTCAAAAGCGCCAAGGTTATGAAAACAAGGAAAGAACTAAAGAACTGTCGCAGACCCAAGGAGACCAAGGAAACACTAAATGTACTAAAGAATTCTAGGCTGGATCCTGGAACAAAAGCAACCATTAGCGTAAAACACTGATGATTTTTCAGTAAAGCCAACAGTTAAATGAACAGCATTGTGTCAGTGTAATGTTATCTTAGGTTTTGTTTTCATTTTATTAGAAAAAGAGAGACATGAACTCCCCAAATGTCCCCAACAACCAATTATTCAAAATAAGCTTTTTTGCAAATTAAGACGTTTGAGTCATTTTCATTTTGTATAAAAATGACAATCAGCCATTTCTAAAAGTTGAGAACATTAAAAACTGTCCATTCTTATCTCCCAACCTGGATTCGCCGCTTCACTAGTTTCAGTCACTTACTGAGCACCTACAATGCCCTGCACACTAAAGTCACGGAAGTGAACAAGGACAAAAAGCATGTCCTTGAGCGACTGATGCTATGCAACAAAACACACACACACCCCACAAAAAAGGGAGCTGTTCGAGGTCACCAACACAGGCTGGCACAGGAAGGCAGGCCCAGGAGACCTCTTTCAGACTGCGGCCACCACAACTCTCAGGCAACTCTGATGTCCTGGAATACTTGTGGACTAGAACTTCCCAGACACCACCAACCAAGAACACTCCTATGTGTCCTGCTTTGTTAGCTTCCTCGTCAAATGCATTTTGATGTTTGTCCTCAAAACATTCCTATCTTCAGCTTGCGCTAAGAAGGCATTTTTTTAAGCAACATCTGCCTGCTTTTCTTTAGCATTAAGGTAACAAGAGCAGCGGAATTCTTCAGTTCCCGCACGTGCACACGGATGCACGTGTCTCAGACTGCTTAATCAAACTACTGCTCACACCACCTGCTGACACTTCTGTGCAAGAAGGCCCTGATAACGAGCACTCCCTTGGGCCCACCTTTGACAGAGAGTGGCCATTCTCCCCTCTCTCCCGCCCCTATCAGTCAGAGCACACAAGGGCTGTGGGAAGCGGCGGAAACTCCCTACAAAAACCGCATTTTGTACCCTGTGCCCTCATTCCGAAAGCCGGCCACTCTCCCCTACAACAGTTTTGCAAATGTTTTCCTGCACAAAAGTCACCTGTTGGGGAGCTTCAAATAGATGCAGATCACAGGGCGTACATTGCAAACACTACGTCTTCACTAGGCTTAAAAAAATAATAAAAAATAACGCCATAACGTCAGCACCCGTTTTAACCAGAATATGAACAAAGGCCTTCCGCCAAGTCCGGAACGCAATTTTTACAAGGCAGTAGTATGATTACTGAACATCAGCGCATCGCGTATTCTCTCAACGGTTAAAATGTCACGTATTGTCTGACGGTGCGTCTATTTTATCGCAGTGTTGTTTCAACACGATGGTATGAACCAAATTTCGTCAAGAGCAAGCAGCACGACCCCGCGTCCCCATTCAAAACGTGTGCACACATGTGAACGCGTGTGTAATTATGCACACATTCTCCTCCACGTCCAGAAGCCTGGAGACTCACAATTCCGGACTGGGACTACTTTTACTTTCTCCCTTTTACCTCTGCTGTCGCACCATCTCCGATGAATGCGCTTCACGGGCCTTAACCGGGATAAAAGACACAGACCCCAGACTCCACGCCCCGACGCCCAGGTGCTCAGGAGACCCCTCCTCAGGAAGCCTCACCGCGGTGGGGGCGGGATTCGCGGCCCGACCGCAGCCTCCAAGCCAGGCTTGCCCGCGCCACCGCCCCGAGCAGGGCCGAGTGTCCCCGCCGCTCCCCCGGAGCCCCGAGCCCGCGGAGGAGCCCCCGCCACGCCCACGCCCCTCCGGGTAGCTCACCGACTGGAGCCGCCGCCCCACACTCGGGCCTCGCGCCGGCCGCGCCGCGCCTCCTCCGGTGGCGGAGAGCGCGCATGCGCGTCACCGCCCTGGTCCCCCCACCACCCCTTCCGCTCCGGCGGCCTCTCTAGGAAACCGGGAGGGCCGACGTCTCCGCTTCTCCCCGGCCCCAGGGCGGCGCTGGGCTGCCCATTGCCTCCCGCCGCTGGCCACCTGGCGCACTCGCTCGGATGCCGGATGCCCGGGACCTGAGGCAACGCGGCCTAGTAAAGTTCCCGCCGTGAAGCTAGCACTGTTTATCTTTTAGAACAGGATGCCTTCGGTGAGAAGTTACTCCTGAGGCTAGCTGGCCAGAATCAGCTGGATCCAAGATGACCGCCTCAGTGACCTCCAGCAGCCCACAAACTTTATAATTTCATGGTAAATGACACACTTGATGGCGGCCATGACAGGAAATACCAGAAATATCCAAATTCCGAGAAATCCCCGCCTACCCCAAGAAAATGCTTGACTATTCTTCCCATAATTAGCATGTCTCACACCCCTCCGGGCTCTTTCTGCCCTGTGCTTTTTTTTTTTTTTTTTTTAAGATTTATTCATTATTTATTTGAAAGAGTTACAGAGAGAGAGAAAGGTCTTATATTCGCTGGTTCAGTTCCCAGACGGCCGCAACAGCCTGGAGCTGAGCGGATCCAAAGCCAGGAGCCAGGGGCTTCTTCAGGGTCTCCCACGCAGGTGCAGGGGCCCAAGGACTTGGGCCATCTTCTACTGCTTTCCCAGCCTATAGCAGAGAGCTGGATCAAAGTGGAGCAGCCGGGACTCAAACTGGTGTCCATATGGGACGCCGGCACTGCAGGAGGCAGCTATACCCGCCACAGCACAGGCCCCAATCTGCCCTGTATAAAAACTCCTCAACCCTCAGCGACTTGAGAAGTTGATCTGAGAATGAGGCTCCTGTTAGGGAACACAGGACCTCCTCAACTCAAAATAATGCGTACATTCAACTAAGGTGTTTTTGAGACTTCTTCTACAGGAGCTGTTCACAGGTGGGTATTCTGGAGACTTCCACAGGACAGAAGGACCGGCTTCACCTGCATCCCGACCCTGAGAGCATCCTCCGTGGCTGCTGCCTGCAACAACAGGAGCTCGTGCTGTCGTTGAAACCCCAGAATACACAAATACAACCTCCATGCCCTCTCGAGACTATGGCTTCTTGAGGCACAGTCCTTCCTCGGTGAAGTAAAACTCTACCTTGGTTGTCTCTCATACCGCGGTGTGCCAACACCTGTGGACGTGGAGGTCCTGCTTCTCCATTCTTTGGCCCTTCAATACATTCATGATGTTGATGCTAAAATTTCAGTTCCTCCATTTGCTTTGCCACACACACACTTCGCATGGCCTGTTGCCCCACCTCCCTCCTCTTGGTGTCCGCAGGGCTGCCCTGGAGGCCTTTCTCCACCGAGAGAACAAAGTTACTCAAAACCAGAGATGAACAGAGGAGCAGCTGACTCATTCTGTCCAGGAGGAACTGTTACGGAAGCTGCTCTTTCCTCCTCCCGGGGTTACCCTTCAAGAAGGAAACCAGACCCTACTGGGAAGCTACTTGCTAGACTCCTGCCTGTCCAGGACACCACATTCCCAAGACCACCATCCATACAGGGATTTGTTCATCCCAAGCCCAGCAGGACAGAAACGTTACAGAATGGCCTCCACCTGTTTTCTCCCATTGGTGACTCCTAACTGCTCACTGATGGGTGAACAATGTATTGAACAGCACGTGGAATCCTGCAGTAGGTTGGAGGTTGGACAGGCTGTCTGAAAAACAGCAGAGCATCAAGATACTGCCCAACCTGGTAGCAGAAAGTATCCTCTACTGTCAGTGCAAGAGAACCTTGAGGGTGCACAGCCAATGCCCTAAGATCATCTCCTGCAAGCAGTTGTGCCCAGTGACCAGAGAACCCTGGTAGACCTCTGGTCTGAGCTTCCTGGAGGCAGACTGCAGCACATCGGCCAGCTGATCTCTCAGATGCATGCTGATGATGTCCATCTGTGCCCTGGGCTTTGCTCCACTTGTTACAGCATCCAAGCTCATCTGCCCACTATGCAGGTGCACACACACACACACACACAGCCACTAATTCAATGGCAGTGTGCTGAAAAAGAAATTCAGTTTATGCAGTGTGCTGGCAAACCAAGAGGGCTGACCAGTGTTATAAAGAAACCATCTTGGGGCCGGAGTTGCAGCACAGCAAATAAAGCCGCCACCCAAGACACCAGCATCCCATGTGGGTGACATTTCCTGTGTCAGCTGTTCCACTTCTGATCCAGCTCCCTGCTAGTGGACTGGGAAAAGTGCAGCAGAAGACTGCCACCCACATGGGAGCTCCTTACTTCGCCTGGCCCAACCTTGGCTGTTGCAGCCATCTGAGGAGTGAGCCAGCAGATGAAACATCTCTCTCCCTCTCCTTCACTCCCTCTCTCTTCTAACTTTCAAATAAATAATATTTTTTTAAAAAATCTTGTGAATGCCTTTTAACAGGCAATTTTTAAGTATAAGTGGCAGGAAGAGTTGGGGGAGGGGGTTGCAGGGTCAAGAAATAATAAAGATGCAGACACCTGAGTACCAGCAAGTACTCTTTGTCCTTGGGTAGTTGACTGAAGATGTGAGTCTGGTTAAGCTGCTCCTATAAATCCTTAACAAGTCACTATTTCAGTGCATATCTTCTTATATCCTCAGGGGAGGCAAGCCTTGGGTAAGGACCTATTTGCAGAAACCTCAAGTTGCAAGCAGAATTCCTCTAGTGACAACGTGTCTACGTGCAGGGCTGAGCAGAACTGGTCTGACCCAAAGGTTGAGGAAGTAAGGGGGAAAATATAATAGGAAAGTAGAGATGCCAAGATTTTTTCACCATGCTTCACATTCCTCTTCAATGTTCCAGTCACCAATGATGGAAACAAATGGACTCTGAACACCAGAAAGATGGTGATGAGATGGAAGAGAAACAGATGGCACAAATCGGGTAAGAGAGATCAGAGTGATTTAAAAAAGGTGGACAGATCGCTTCTCGGCCTTTTGGCTAAGATCAAGTGTAGTATCTGTTCTTATCAGTTTAAAAAAGGTGGACAGAGTTAAGGAACTGCAACCTGAGGTGGTAGAGAATCCTAAGTGTCAATATTCAGAAGGTTATTATCACCGCTAGGATCAGGCCACCTGATAGAAACTGTGGCCTTCAGGTGAGCCAGCCCATGGGCCAGCATAAAAGATGCTGGTGCAATAAGCAACTGAAGCTCACTCTTTGTGGTCAAGCATTCTGTTTCCATTAAGACCCAACAGTAGGCTACAAGTTGGCATGCAAAGACAGTGTAACTGGTGACCATTCAGAGTAATTTATATGGTCCAATCCTGAGGGGCCTAGATAAGTCTCTTGTTACCACAGGCTCCCAATTTATGTGGGTAGGAGTCAGTGAGACCTGTAATTCCCTGACCCAAGGGCTCCTTTGGCCCTGATAGCAGCCTCATGCTAATGCATATTGTATGCCTCTAGTCTGCTATTGCTGGGGCCCCTTCTCAGAAGTGGCTGCCCTGCAGGTAACTTTTAACCAATGGAGGCAATAACCAGATGTGGTACATGTTGACTACAATAGCCAAACATACCTACAAGCTATTAAATTTCTTTCTTGTAGATGGGTGCAAGTCCAGAATCTTATCATGACTGACAGCCTAGCCTACATGTGTCAGAATGTCTTTGACCTTACATAGTAACTGATTAATTTGTTTCTTAGGCTGGCAAGGAGAATGTCATCAATACAGGGGATGACAAGTACTTTTGGAGGTAACTGGGCAAGCTGCAGATCAGGGGAATTGAAGTACTGCTATGGACTGAACTGTGTTTCCCAAAATTCATACACTGAAGTCCTTAGCTCCAATAGAAAGTACCTGGAGTCCTGCAGCCAGGGATGAGGAAGCCTGTGAACATGTACTGTTCAACAGAAAGAAAGAACCACCCTCCTCTTTGCTATTCAGAGACCAGCAAGGACACTGTTTCAACAGGCCAGAAGGCCTTCAACAGGGAAGGACCTCTGCCTGACAGATGTACAGGGTCAGGACCACCAGCCTAAGGATCATGCAGGAGACAGCATCAAACCAAAAAGGATTACTCTTGAGTCTTAAGATCTTATGGAATTTGCCTTGTTAAGTTTGCAGCTTGGATAGGACCCATCCTCCCTTAATTCCTTCTAATGTCTCCCTTTAGAATTGGAATGTCTCACCACTGTATTCTGGAGGCACACTTCTTGGTTTCACAGGTTCGAGCTGGAGAGGAATTCAGAGTCAGGGTTAAGATGTATAGTTTCACCTCTGTACGGCTTAGAAATTTAAGTGTGACTTTGAACTTTAGTCAATACTAGAATGAATTAAGACTTTTGGGTTTGTTGCGATGTAATGAATGTATTTTGCACTCAAGGACATGTTGGGGTGTGAGCCAAAGTGGAAGGTTAGGGAATGAATGCTTACTTTGAAATCCTAATCCTAAATGTAATGGTACTGGGAGGGGGTTTTGACAGAGCCCTTGGGAGGTAATTAGGGTTAGCTTGGGACAGGGACACTCACAATTGGATTAACACCCTTAAAAGAAGTGAAGGGGCACCAGTGCTCTTATTCTCTCCAAGACATAAGGACACAGCAAGATGGTAAACATCTATAAACCAGGAAGAGAACTCTCACCATCACTCGGCCATGCTTTCAAGCTTAGAGGACTATGAATAAGTAACCCAGTCCATAGAATTTCATCACAGCAGCTCAAGCTGACTACCACAGTTGCTAAAGATATGTCCCTACCACCCCTCCACCCATGACCAAAAAGAATGAGGTCGTTATTTTTAGAAAGCCTTCAATGAATAAAGAACTCTCGCAAGTAGTAAAAGATGAAACAAAATTTTTAAAAATCTTCCAAATTCATTTTTCAAAGCTACCAAAACATTACCAAAATGAATCTAGTTCTGTACTTAACAACAAAATCACCAGGAGTATATTTTATTCAAGAAGTATAGACATTTCAATTATTAGCAAAGTTGTTAACAAATTCTATTACAAAAAAGTACAGAGCTCATAAAATTACCACAAATTCTGAAGACTTGATGGTACTAAGCAATCATTCCTAATTAAAAAAAACTCTAATTGCCATAGTGTGTACTGTGTTCTAAGTACAGTTTTTAAGTACCTTATAAATATTCAACTTGAGTTTTCACAACCCTGAGATAGCTCATAGAACTGAGACCCAAAGAAGCTAAGTGATTTGCTCAGTCATAAACTTAGCAAAGTGGTAGATACAGGATTTGACTACAAATTGTGTGCTCATAACCACTATAATAAACTGCTTCTTCTAAAAACAGGAATAGGAATAAAAGGAAACTTCCTAAATACAATGGCCTATTTATCAGAATCCAATAATGAACACCATATGAAACTGCAAAACACTAAAAACATTCCCCTACAGGGAATAAGACATGGAATGCAGGTAATCCACTATTAAACAAACACTGTTTGATGTTTTGGCAAATGTAAACAAAAGTGGCATAAGACTGGCAATGGAGATTAAACAAATCATTATATAAACAGACCCAGAAGAGCCAGGATATGAAATAAACTATTAAAATGATATATATTTATCAAGGTCACTGGCTCTACATATAATTTCTTTAAAAGTAATTTTATGAATTTTGTTTATAATAACAATTACCAACAGGAACTGAGATACAGCTTTCAAATGCAGCCATTTTTTTACTTCCTCAGAGTGTCTGGCTTTCTCAGAATGCCAGGGCATTCATTTTTACCAAGTACCTACCCCAGACTGGTAGCCATTTGGATAATGCTGGTTCCCACACTCCAGAATCTTATAGTAGAAGAAGATGAGCAGATAAGTACCAAAAGGTAAAACAGAGCATCCAACAGGCAGTGTGATGCTAACAAAAACCTGACCAGAAATATCTAAGTCAAGGAGCTGGGCTGCATCCACATGCTGATATAGAGTTGGACTCTTCCTGGTATCTGGTAGCTCCCAAAGTAAAAAGAGTTAAAAAGAAAAAAAAAGTCTATCTGAATATTTTTAAGATAGGCTCATTTTTATATATTTGAAAGGCAAAGCAAGAGAAAAAGAGATCTTCCATCTACTGGTTCACTCCCCAAATGTCTGCAAAACCCAGGGGTGGGCCAGGGCAAAGCCAGTACCAATATCCTATGATGAGATGCCACTTCTTTCAAAGTTTCTAGTCCAGTAAATATGGGAGAATAAAGTTTAAGAAATCATTTAAGGATGAGTGATCAAACTATTATTTATATATCAAAAGAAAATGATACCTTCACCAAACTCAAGAGACTGCAAGTTGGTATAATAGTATCCTCATTAAGAGCAATTAAAAAGGCAACTTAACAGATGCATACAAAAGCACCAGCTAATTTGAAGAACTGAAGTCCAATCAATAGAGGTTGAAGAAGAATCAACATCTGAAAAAAGAAAGTCTTTCAGAAATTAGACAGATTTTGAACTTGAAAGGAAAACAGATTACTCATAGAGGTTTTCTAAGTAGGGAATATAAGAAATGAGAAGCTAATAGATTACCATTAAATTTAAAAAGTAGATGTGGAGGGTCCTAGGTAAGAAGAAGTGATAAGTTTAACATGACATAAAATTTGCCCTACAGGCAGACGCCACGGCTCACTAGGCTAATCCTCCGCCTTGCGGCACTGGAACACCGGGTTCTAGTCCCAGTCGGGGCGCCGGATTCTGTCCTGGTTGCCCCTCTTTCAGGCCAGCTCTCTGCTGTGGTCCGGGAGTGCAGTGGAGAATGGCCCAAGTACTTGGGCCCTGCACCCCATGGGAGACCAGGATAAGTACCTGGCTCCTGCCATTGGATCAGCGTGGTGCACCGGCCGCAGCGCGCTGGCCACAGTGGCCATTGGAGGGTGAACCAACGGCATAAAGGAAGACCTTTCTCTCTGTCTCTCTCTCTCACTGTCCACTCTGCCTGTCAAAAAAAAAAAATTTGCCCTACAGAGGGTCTTGTGAAATGACTTATGTACACAGAGCGATGCAATTGAATAAAGCTATGATCAATGCACTTTAGAAATACTCAATCTAGAACAGCAGATTAAGCCTGCCCTGGAGAAGCCTGAATCCCATATCAGAACGCCTGGGGTTGATCCACCTCCAACTCTGATTCTGCTTCCTGCTAATGAGTCCGGCTGACAGCACATGATGGCCCCAGCACTAGGGTCCTCGCCACTCACATAGGAGACTTCAATGGAGTTCTAGGCTCCGGGCTTTGACCTGGTTCAGCCCTAAATCTTGTAGGCATTTGGAAAGTGAAACAGAGATAGAAGCTCACTCGCTCACTCCCTCTCTCTTCTGTTCCCTTTCTGTCATTCTGCTTTCAAAAAAAAAAAAAAAAAAGCTTGTTTAAAAACAGAAACATAATCGGATTATGGAATGAATGCTAATAAATGAGATGTTAAAATAACGAAAAAATACAAGGAGTAAATAAAATGTGTAGTCCTTACTTTCCCAATAACAGGGAAGAACTGTACTAACGTTGGTGCTGCAAAAGAAAGAATTAAGAGAATGATCCACTTTGATTGGTGGTTCCAAGAGAAACAGTGTGAGCATCTTTCTCAAAAAGAAAGATTAACTCAATATTTTTGCTCCCTCTCTCAAAGAACTAGGCTTTAGAAAACTACCGAGCCAGACCTGAGAGTTTCTCTCCAGTGTGAGTTCGCTGGTGATAATTAAAGGTGGAACGCTGACTGAAGGCTTTCCCACACTCAATACATTCATAGGGTTTCTCTCCAGTGTGAACTCTCTGGTGTACAATAAGCTGTGAGTTGTCACTAAATGCTTTCCCACAATCATTGCACTTATAAGGCTTTTCCCCGGTATGAGTTCTCTGATGTACAATAAGGCTGGAGCTATAACTGAAGACCTTCCCACACTCCTTACATTCATAGGGCTTCTCACCAGTGTGAATTCTCTGGTGTATGATGAGGTGAGAGTTCTGATTGAAGGATTTTCCACACTCCCTGCATTTATAGGGCTTTTCACCCGAGTGAAGTCTCTGGTGCCGAATAAGGCATTTACTCAGACTGAATGCCTTCCCACACTTGCCACATTCAAAAGGTTTTTCTCCAGTATGCATTCGCTCATGGTCAACAAGCTGAGAGATCTGACTAAAGGCTTTGCCACATTCACTACATGTGTATGGTCGATCCCCAGCATGGAGGCTCTGGTGACGAATGAGACATTTGCTCCAACTGAAGGCCTTGCCACACTCATTACACTGATAAGGCTTCTCCCCGGTGTGGATTCTTTGATGGTCAGTAAGATTTCTGCTGGAACAAAAAGCCTTCCCACACTCATTACACTTGTAAGGTTTCTTACCAGTGTGAAGGACTTGGTGTCGCACAAGATTTTTACCACGACCAAAAGCTACTCCACACTCCTTGCATTCATAAGGTTTCTCTCCGGTATGGGTCCTCTGATGATCCAAGAGTTTGGAACTCTGATTAAAGGCTTTTGCACATTCACTACATTTATAAGGTTTCTCCCCATTGTGGAGTCTCTGGTGTTGAATGAGATGGGAGCTGTGCCGATAGGTCTTCCCGCACTCCTGGCATTCATAGGGTTTTTCCCCTGTGTGGGTTCTGAGGTGAACAATGAGCTGAGAGCTCTGCCTGAAGGTCTTCCCACACTCACTACACGCATAGGGTTTCTCTCCCGAGTGGATTCTCTGGTGGCCAATGAGGTGGGAACGCCAACTAAAGAATTTGCCACATTCATTACACTGGTAGAACTTCTGTCCCTTCAGGCCTCCTTGATGTTCAACCAAACTGGAGGACAGATTCCCACGTTCCTCTGCTTCCTTATAATCCTCACATGTATCTTCTGTGGATTTTTCCTTATCTTTGTGTCTTATTTTGAAGAAGTCACTTCGCAGTCTGCTCCCTTCTTCACTTGAAGGCTGCCCTTCTAGCGTCTCTAAAGTATCTCCACAGACAGCTCCAGGTTCTGGTCCCCCAGGAACTACCCCAAACAGTCCCCCTGACATCCTATCAGATGACTCCAATCCTTTAGATAGGTCCTGCTCTGGAGTCAGTTCTGAACTCTCTTCCACGTTCCTACCTGCTGCCAAAAAAAGAAGAAAACAACTTTTACTCATTTCTTGTGCTGTTGAGGGATCAGAAAGAATCACGAAGATCCCATGGACCTGAAGAAAAGTCACAAAAGCTTCCAGAAGGGTAAGGAATAAAATGAGACACTGAGATCAAAGGAGGAAACAGGAAGTAGCTTAATGGTTAATTCAGGGACAGAAAAATATGGGAAGATGGTCATTGAAGGAAGGTGAAAAAAATGACAGGACAGAGTTTGAGTCAGCAGAGCAAAGTGACAATGACAATTGGAAAGCAGCAGCACAGACTGTAAAGCATGAGGAATCTTAGAGAAGTCACTGGGATGTTGAATTTCCTTAACAAACTGAGTATTTCTAAGTTCCCTTCCAACCAAGGCATTATATGGTTCCACACTTCTGAGATAAAATGCTGCAAGAGACAAGTCTGGCAAATATCTCAAACACAAGAAAGAGCACAAAGATAGGAGTGAGCTGTTAAGAAATCTACGTAATGACAAAAAAAAAAAAAGAAAAGAAAAGAAAAGTGCACAGAAAGGAGAGGTCTATATGACAGGATAGTGACAAGATTTGGAGAATCTGTAGGTTCTGAAATCCTGGGGAACAATGTTGAAGGGGACAGCAGAGCTCTAAAAGTGGGGATGCCACTGGTTCCAAGAATACCACTCTGGTGGGAGCCAGTTCTATATTCATATAAAAAATTAAGAAGCACATCAATAATCTGAAATATGAATTAAAATTTGTGGGATCTTGGTTCCCTAGGATAAAAAGTAAATTGAAAAGTTGAAGATTTCCCTTGAATCTGAATATTTTAATGCAAAATCTGAGAAAGGAAATAGCAATCATGGCCATAGCTTCATAGCAATACGCTGGCTCCTTTCAATCATGTCTTAACCAGCACCACAGGTATCATAGCATTACCATATGGGAAGTCAAAGTTGTCTGAATCAATGACTGCTATGCCCACTCTGCCAAACTGTCTGTTCTACTAAACATGTCATTCACAGGACCTCCCCTGCCCTAGCCTTTGCAAAGAAATTTTAGACAACCACATTTTGTGTCATGTGACCCTGAGCATCCCATGATGACAGATGATTAGGCCAGAGCCAGGTGCTAGACCCAAGTGTAGCTTATCCAAGCGTTAATGATTAGCCTCTGCCATGGCCTGAGCCAAAGATTGTCAAAACACAGATGATATTTAATGGCTCTACCAATAAGAATCCTTCCCTGAGTAAATTTTTAAATGGAAAGCAGGACACATATAAGACAAGCCAGAGAAGAAATTGAAATGACTCATGGAGCCAACTTAAGACATTGGCCAACAACAAGTATGAGGGAACGGAAAATAGAATTAAGCAGGATTTATGATGATTCCTTCACAAAGGATTTAGAGTGAGGACATGAGGACAGTAAGAAGAGACAGAAAGAAAACAGAGAGCACACTGGAATGCTGGCATAAACATTCGTTTGCTTTTGGGCTGAGAATCCTGGGTTGCTTTGGGTTAGGGCCTAGTTTTCATGTGACTCCATTTCCCACAATCTTGTCTAACTGATCTGTTAGTTTGGGGTTCCCATTCCTTTAAGTCAACAATACACAGCTCCTTACCATGTTACCCCAACTTGAGTGATCCTTTATTCCTTAAAACTAAAAATCTCCTTAAAAAAACCACCATAGATCAGTCAATTATGAAGAATGTTAAACTGAGTGATGGATGCAGAAGTTTACTCTACTACTTCACTTATGCTTGGAAATCCTCGTAATAAAAATTTTAAAAGAATGAGAATACAGCAAAGAAAATGCACCCAACACAGGCTCTAAGCGACTGGGGGAGAGAATCATTACCCAGAGCGGCCATACTGTGGTGGTTTTCTGGCATCATGTTCTGGTGCAGGGCTCTGGCTGAGGGCTGGACCTTTCCACTTCTTCTGAGCAGAGTCCACAGACAGGTCCTCAGACACTGTAGTCTTCCTGGAATAACAAACTTCTATGGCTCGGGAACATCCCCAGTCTAAGGGCAGAGGCATCAGAGATACAAAGGAAACAAGGTTCAGGCTCTTGGTGAGCTAGGATGATCCATCCCATAGGACAAGTCCAGGGCAGCACAGAGTCCACTAACTAGAAGTAGGAACCCAGCTCCAGGGAAAGCAGTTAGGTAGGAAAGCCACAGGCACCATTCCAGAGGAGCAGAGCCCTGGGGGTGAGCTCCAGCTTGGACCACATACACCAGAACTCCAGAAAACAGAGCCATGCTCATCTGAGGCCTGACCATCCAAGGCACAGTGGCCACCTCTGTATCCTAAGTTTCCCGCTTGGAGAAGGCAGGAACTGCAGAAGCCAGTTGAGACGAGGAGGGGAAGAAAGCTGTGAGCAGGACGAGTCCTGCCTTACCACCATAAGACCTATATTCCCATTGAGTTTAGTCAAGAGATCCCAGGCAGTTCCATAAAACTGTTATCCTACTTCCAAAAGTTATGAACCCAACGATGCTGTGAATTTTCCCTGGAGGGCTCAGTAGAAGGTCTTTCTCCCAGCACTCACTCTCTTCAGACGGAAACTACACTTCTGACCACATTCTCTCCACCACGGCTTCCCTAGAACCTAGCACAAGCCTGTTTTCCACCTCACACCTCCGTCTTTCTTCCTGCTCCTGTCCTCTCACTGTGGACACCCTCGGAATTCCAGTCCCTACTGTTTTCTTCTTTTTTCTGTTACCAGTCTCACTGACTTCACCACTGCTCTCACAGTCCTCACTTCTCCCCCAGGCTCCACTGCCTATGTACACTGCTTACTGGACATTTCACTTGGGTGTCTCACAACACCTTAAGTTTGGTGTCTAAAATGCATGTTTTTCTGGGGCTGGTGTTGTGTCACAGTAGGTGAAGCCCTCGCCTGGGATGCCTGTGTCCCATATCGGATTGCCTGGTTCAAATCCTAGCCACTCCGGGCTTCTAGCCAGTTTTCTGTTAATGTGCTTGGGAGACAGCAGATAATGGCCCAAGTACTGGGGTTCCTGCCATCCAGGGGAGACCTGGATGGAGTTCCTGACTCCTGACTTCAATGTGGACTAGCTCTGGCTGTTGCAGGCATTTAAGAAGTGAAGCAGCAGATGGAATCAAAGTTTCTCTCTCTGCTTTTCAAATACATAAATTATCCTTTGAAAAACAAAATGCATGTTCTTCCCACCTTCCTTTCCTCATCTGCTAAATATTGTCAATTAATCCAGATGCTTGACTTGCCCCAATTGGTAGAGTTGGAAACATACTAGGGGATTCCAATTCAATCCCATCAAGGTGGCATGTGCCAATGCCATCTCACTATTCCAAGTGATCAATTTCAGTTCACAATTGATCATAATGAAAGGACTAAGAGTCAAAGGGAGCACATAAACAAGTCTAGTATCTGCTAACACTAACCGATAGAATAAATAAAGGGGAGAGTGATCCAACATGGGAAGTGAGATACTCAGCAGACTCATAGAATGGCGGATGTCCTAAATAGCACTCTGGCCTCAGAATCAGCCCTAAAGGCACTCGGATCTGGCTGAAAAGCCCATGAGAGTATTTCAGGCATGGAAAGCCAAGACACTCTGGCAAAAAGATCTCTGTGAGTGAGATCCCAGTGGAAAGAACAGGTCTTCAAAGAGGGAGGTGCCTTTCTCTGAAGGGAGGAGAGAACCTCCACTTTGACTATGACCTTGTCTAAACAAGATAAGAGTCGGAGAACTCAAGGGGCTTCCATAGCCTTGGAAACTCATGACTGGTGCATAGGGAGATTACTGATGCCATAAACAGGAGTGTCAATTTGTAAAGTCAACAACAGGAGTCACTGTGCACTTACTCCTCATGTAGGATCTCTGTCCTTAATGTGCTGTACACTGAGGCTTAATGCTATAACGAGTACTCAAACAGTATATTTCACTTTGTGTTTCTATGGGGGTGCAAACTGTTGAAATCTTTACTTAATGTACACTAAACTGATCTTCTGTTAAAAAAAAAAAAAAAAAAAGAAAAGAAACTATCAATTCCCAACTTGACTCTCACTGGGATTAAACATGACAATAGGTCTGATCTGATTTCATCATCATTTAAAAAAAATCATCTATTATTTTTCACTTTATGTTTCTGTGTGGGAACAAACTGTTGAAATCCTTACTTAAGGTATACTAAGCTGATCTTCTGTATACTAAGATAATCGAAAATGAATCTTGATGTGAATGGAAGGGGAGAGGGAGTGGGAAAGGGGAGGGTGGTGGGTGGGAGGGACGGTATGGGGGGGAAAGCCATTGTAACCCATGAGACGTACTTTGGAAATTTATATTCATTAAATAAAAGATTAAAAAAAAAAAAACATTCTGGTTCCTCTTTTTTTTTTTTTTTTTTTTTTTTTTTTTTTTTTTGATAGGCAGAGTGGACAGTGAGAGAGAGAGACAGAGAGAGAAAGGTCTTCCCTTGCCGTTGGTTCACCCTCCAATGGCCGCCGCTGCAGCCGGCGCACCGCGCTGATCCGATGGCAGGAGCCAGGATCCAGGTGCTTTTTCCTGGTCTCCCATGGGGTGCAGGGCCCAAGCACCTGGGCCATCCTCCACTGCACCCCCTGGCCATAGCAGAGAGCTGGCCTGGAAGAGGGGCAACCGGGACAGAATCCGGAGCCCCGACCGGGACTAGAACCGGTGTGCCGGCGCCGCAAGGTGGAGGATTAGCCTATTGAGCCACGGCGCCGGCTGGTTCCTCTTTTTTCTTCAAACTCATGCCCAATGGATTTTTGATAATTTATCTACAGATACAATACAATCTCTAACAGAGTACAAGAATGCTTCTTTTTAGAAAATGAAAGCTGATCTTAAAATTCATATGAAACTCAAGAGATCCATATAGCAAATAATGTTAAGAGTAAGCTGAGGGGCCAGCGCTGTGGCATAGCAGGTAAAGCCACCCACTGCCTGTAGTGCCGGCATCCCATATGGGTACTGGTACAAGTTCCAGCTGCTCCACTTCTGATCCAGCTCTCTGCTATGGCCTGGGAAAGCAGCAGAAGATGGCCCAACTCCTTGGGCCCCTGCACCCATGTGGGAGACCCGGAAGAAGTTCCTGGCTCCTGGCTTTGTATCAACTCAGCTCTGGCCATTGCAGTCATTTGGGGAGTGAACCAGCAGAATGGAAGACGTCTCTCTCTCTCTCTCTCTAGTTCTACCTCTCTCTCTCTGTAACTCCGTCTTTCAAATAAATAAGTCTTTTTTAAAAACTTACTAAACTGGGCCGGCGCCGTGGCTCACTAGGCTAATCCTCCGCCTGCGGCGCCAGCACACCGGGTTCTGTCCCAGTTGCCCCTCTTCCAGGCCAGCTCTCTGCTGTGGCCAGGGAGTGCAGTGGAGGATGGCCCAAGTGCTTGGGCCCTGCACCCCCCCCATGGGAGACCAGGAGAAGTACCTGGCTCCTGCCATCGGATCAGTGTGGTGCGCTGGCCGCAGCATGCTGGCCGCGGCGGCCATTGGAGAGTGAACCAACGGCAAAGGAAGACCTTTCTCTCTGTCTCTCTCACTGTCCACTCTGCCTGTCAAAAAAAAAAAAAAACTTATTAAACTGGCTGGCGCTGTGGCTCACTTGGTTAATCCTCTGCCTGCAGCACCAGCATCCCATATGGGCACCAGGTTCTAGTCCCGATTGCTCCTCTTCCAGTCTAGCTCTCTACTATGGCCCAGGAAGGCAGTGAAGGATGGCCCAAGTGCTTGGGCCCCTGCACCCACATGGGAGACTGGGAGAAAACACCTGGCTCCTGGCTTCATATCAGCGTAGTTCCAGCCATAGTAGCCGTTTTGGGGGGTGAACCAACAGAAGGAAGACCTTTCTCTCTGTCTCTCTCTCTCTCACTGTCTATAACTCTACCTGTCAAATAAAAAAACTTATTAAAATTGTATTTTAATTTCATTTTTATGTGAAATTTCTGATGTAGCCTCTCATAGATAAAAAGAATTAAAATTCATAAATAAACCCATACATCTATGGTCATTTTTTTAATAAGGGTGCCAGTAACACTCAAAGTGGAAAAATCATATTTTCAAATAGTTCTGAAACAACTGGGAATTTACTTGCAAAAGCATAAAGTTGGAGTCCTATTGCACACACACCATATAAAAAAGTAACTCAATACCAATCAAGGATCTACATGTAAAACTAAAACTACAAAACTCTTATAAGAAAGTATAGATCTCTGTGACAATGAATTTGGCAAGAATCCTTGCCAAATGCAAATGAACAGTACATGATAGCAAGAAACAGGTAACTTAGATCTGATCAAATGGAAAAATCATTTTGTTTCAATAGATAAATGAAGAAATCGAAAAGATAGCCCATTGATTGGGAAAAAAAATACACAAATGATCTAATAAAATCTTACATCTGGAATATATAAATAACTCTTACAACTCAGTAAGAAAAAAAATCCAATTTAAAAATGGGCAAAGGGTCTGAATAAACATTTCTCCAAAGAAAATACAAAATGACCAAAAAATCACAAAGGACTGGCTAACAACTTCAGTTATCAGGAAACACAGATCAACAAAACAAGAAGATACAACTTCACACTCACTAGGTTGGTTAGAATAAAAAGTCAGATAATAACACGCATTGGGAGGTCGTGGAGGTATTAGAATCTCATAGACTTCTGGTGGAAATATAGTTGATACAGACACTTAGGAAAATATTCTGGCAGTTCTCCAAAACATAGTTAAGTTATACACACAGTTACTATTTGATCTGGCAATCCTATTCCTAGGTATAAATCCAAGACAAACTAAAATAGCTGTTCAAAGAAAAAGCTGGTAGTAGAAATGTTCATAGCAGAATCCATTCCCAACAGTCATAAGGAGGAAACAAACCAAGTGTTCATCTGGGTTTTCCCATTTACTGGCATAAGGCTATTCACTGGACTGGCATTCTCTTAAAGAACAGTCTACAGGGGCCGGCACGGTGGCTCACTTGGTTAATCTTCCACCTGCAGTGCTGGCATGCC